ATAATTAATATATAATATATGATAAAATATCTAGTAAGTGAAATTGAAAATACTAGGGCTCATGCATCCTATTCAAGAGCACTATCACTGAGTTCCATTAGCCACCCTTTTCCCTGCACTTGTGAACACATTTATGCTTTGCATGCTGATGATCTTTATTTGTGTAAAGTAAGACTATGGTGTGCTTTGCTGGCAGTTTTGCTTACCAATATTTGGAGGATATTTGATTTCTGTTTTACTTGCTTCTGTTCACCACATAATTCCTGGTTAGATCTTGGAAATTTTAAAAAATGTATAGTGGTGGCTGTGGATACTTGTTCTGGTCTGGTAGTGGAGCTCAGGGGCAGAGTGCTTGCCTAGCATGCATGAGGCCCTGAGTCCAAACTGCAGCACTGAAAAAATAATTAATAAATAAATAAATAAATAAATAAATAAATAAAATAAAAAACTATATAGGACCTACATCTCAGGTAGTTGATATTCTTTGCATTTCTTTTTCTTAATGATTTTTTTTTTCTTTTTGGTACCGGGGATTGAACTCAGGACCTTGTGCTTGCAAGGGAGGCTTGGAGCCACTGAGCTACATCCCAACCCCTCTTAATGATGTTTTTGATAAACTCTCAAAGGCTTGATATTGCTCAACGTGACATCACAGCTGTGGGATGCTCACAGTATCCTAGGGCGCACAGACAGGCAGGGTTACACTGGCCTTTTTCTAGTTATACTGCCTTGTGCTTTTGGCTGCAGCAGTTCGGTGAAATGTGTGACATTTTGCACCTAGGAGAGGAAAGGGAGAGCCTAGTCTGGCTGCAATTATCACACCCTCACCCTTCTACGAAATTTACATTTTTCTTCCCTTCCTCCCTCCGGCCCCCTTCCTTCCCTCTTCCCCTCCCTCCTTTCTTTCCTTCTTTCCTTCCTTTCTTCCCTTCCTTTCTGCCTGCCTTTCTTTCTTCTTTCCTGGCCCCAGATGTAAAGGAGGAGGAAAGCTCCTCACAGAATGATTATGGCTGAGGCACATGGGAATCCAGAAGGGAGATGTCTCTGTGGAAGACCCCACCCCTCAGCGACAGGCCTCTTCAGGCCCCAACTTCTCAGAGCACATCAACCTATGGATTCCACTGATGATTACGACCCCCACCCCTGGGTTTGAGTGGCTATGGGAAGAACCAAGACCACTTAGATGACAACTTTTTCACAAACTGCAATGATATGTCATAACCTGTTAGACAAAGAAAGTGAAAGTAAAACAGGGCCAGGCCTTGGTCTCCAACATGGAATTTGTGCCCCACCTTGGGTCTGGGCCACCGGGCTCCCTGAGGCCCAGTTGCAAGGAATAATTGAGCCCAGTCCAGGGGGATCCTTCAGTGGGGTCCAAGGAAGCTCCACCTTGTCACCTGCTTTCCCAGCTCCCCACAAGGCCCTGCCATCACTGTCACCTGTCCTCCAGCAGTCTCCCACTAGCTCCTGGTGGTGGTTTCCTACAGATCTCCAGGGCCACTGCCACTACTTGGGTCCCTGCTTTCTTCCTATAAAACCTCTGTCAGTGTCTGGAGCTCCGGCCACCCAGTCCTTGGCCAATCAGATCCCACTGCCACAGTGGGCCTGCTCTTCCTGCCTCAAGACCTCACCCATTTATTCCCTTTTTGTTTTTGTTCTTCCCCTTACTGAAGACTGAAAAGAAGGACTTCACACAGAGCTACTGCTTTGACTGTTTTGTGTGTGATGATTGGGTCTCCTTATGTTGCCCCAGCTTGGGCTGAGCCTTGCCCTCCTCCTGACCCCACCTCCTGGAGTGCTGGATATCAAGTGTCCTGCACCATGCCTCCCCAGTGCCTCATCCTTCATGTGTTTCTGAAATCTGGATTCCCACTTACTTGAAAACAGTAACAACAAAAAGAAAACCAAGTTGAGATTTCAAACACTTGTTTTCACACAAGGGTTGGTTCATAAGAGGAATAGGTAGAGTCTTTGTGTAAATCAGTGCTTGTAATAGTTCTCTTGCATTTTGAAGTTTCTTGAATCCATAGGTACCTGAAGTGTATGTTACCAGGCAACTAGTGTTCATTTTATGTGCATGCAAATTGGCA